AGAATGGAGGAGGGTGGGGGGCAGGAAGGACCATGGAGGAGAATGGAGGGGAGTGGAGGGGAGTAGAAGGGGGTGGAGGGCAGGAGAAACAATGGAGGGAATGTATGGGGTGGAGGGATAGAGACCTGGAAGGGGGTAAAGGATGTAAAGGTGGGAGATGGAAGGGAACCCAGGCTGCCGGCTTACCCAGTGCTTGTGCTGTGCCCTGGTAAGTTGGATCACAGGCACTACCCACCTCTGAGAGTTACCCGAATATATAAGAGCAGTTCAATGAATTCCCTCCACCCCTGTCAGAGAAAACAAGACATACACGTAGAACCATTCATTTAGAATTTACATAGAAGCTTTCAAAATCTTTATTTGTCTTTATTGCACAACCTTCATTAAAAACATGTAGGCAAACTTCCAGTTCTTACTCCATTACACAAAGAGCTAGGGAGTCTTTACTCCCATGCTGACAAGAAAAAAAGTTGGGGGGAAAAAACCTAAATATTAACAATTGCTCAATCTGTCATAGAAAAGAAGTCATGGGGCAAACCAGTGACCCCTAAACTGGAGAGACATATGAACACACAGAATCAGAGGTTACAGAAAGCCAACACCTCTGAAGGAGCTAGCAACTCAGAGGAACACTTAAAGGATAATTAAAAATTACAGGAAATTTAGCAGGGACTGGCTTGAGACATAGAAATTCCTGGTAGCCCAATTTCGGGAGGAAGGGTAAATATTTATGAGTTTTACATACAGGAGCCCCTACTAGATTCTCAAGGTGAAGGTCAGAGAAAAGTCACCTTATGCTTCTACCAGAGAAAGGGGAAAAGTAACCATTTGAAATACATAGTGTTCTCTTCTTAACAAATGCCTGCCCTCAGAGAGAAGTATTTTTATCAGAGTCAAGCTGACCTGTGGGAAGGGAAATAGCCAATGCTACAACCTCTAGCTTTTCTGTCTTATATAAGGCAGGAAAATCTGAGAAAAACTTGTGAATGTTAAAAAACAGGGTATAGGATTCCTGAAACAAGGAGACTTCCCCATAGCATTAAAGAATGCTTCCCTACCATTACATACATTACCATAACATCAATAAGGTCGCTGTATAATAACAGCAGTTAACAGCTGAAAGAAACACAAGATTCTGACTCTATGAAAGAGCCATTCTCTAAGAAAAACCCCAAAATAGCTGTGTGAACAAAAACAAGGACATGGCAGAAAAATATAACCTCTAGCATCTAGAGCTTCAGCAAACAGTATACATGACCCAAGTCCTTGAGAGATTAAAATAAAATAAATTCACACTAAAAGTGTATTTACCTCAGTTCCATTTGCTCAGTGCTTCATGTCCAGCTTTAAACAAAAAATAATGTCATGCTAAAAGGAAAAAAAACCACAATCTGAGGAAACAAAGAAAGCATCAGAATCAGACTTAGATATAGCAGATTTTTAAATTATCAGAGAATTTAGAATATCTATATTCAGTATGTTGACAGTCTAATGAAAATAGTGGATAGCATGAAAGGACAGCTGAGTAATGCAAGCAGAGTGATAGAAACTCTAAAAGATAATTTAAAAGAAATAGGAATAAAATACTATAAAAGAAATGAAGGGTGCTTTTGATGGGCACATTAGTAGACTGAACACAGCCTAGGAAAGAATCATTCAACTTTAAGATATGTCCATAGAAATCTCCCAAACTGAATAACAAATAGAAAAAAAAAAAATGGAACAGAACATCCAAAAACTATGGGACAATTGCAAAATATGAAACATACATAACGTGAACACAGTTAAATATTAATTGGCCATTTAAAAAAGTAAAATCTTACCATTTGCAACACCATGAATGAAGCTAGAGGATAGTATGTTAAGTAAAATAAGTCAGACAGAGAAAGACAAATACTGTATAATTTTACTTATGTGTGAAATCTTAAAAAACAAAATAAAGAGACTCATAAATACAGAGTGCAAATGGATGGTTGCCAGATGGGAGGGAAGTTGATTGGCTGGGTGAAAAAGGTGAAGGGATTAAGAAATACAAAAAGGCAGTTACAAAATAGTCACAGTGATGCAAAGAACATCCCTATAGTGAATAATATTGCAATAACTATGTATATTACCAGATGGGTACTAGTGTTATGGGAAGGATCACTTCACAAATTATATAAATGTTTCACCACTATGCTGTACACTTAAAACTAAGATAATATTGAATGTCAACTTTAATTGAAAAAATAAAATTAAAATTAAAAAAAGAGAAAAAGAAAAAAAAAATCACGTGCATTAACCAATAATATAGATAGTGTTACCTGAAAGTGAGCATATAATAGTTGAAAATATATTGTCAAATCTAGAGCAACCACTATAAAATATAGAGAAAACAATTTATTTCTTAAGGTAGAAAGAAAATGGAATCATATAAAATGCTCAATTAAAACAAAGAATGCACAAAAAGAATGAAGACCAAAAAAATAAAAATCGAAGAACAAGGGCAACAGATATAAAAAAGTAACAAATATGGTAGATTTTTTTCCAACTATAGAACAATTACTTTGAATATCAATTGTTAAATACACCAAATAAAAGAAAGACACTGTTAAAATGGAAAAAAAAATAACAGCCAACTATGTGACCTACAGTATACGCACTTTATTATTTTTCAATTATTTTTTTTCTTTTTCAATTACAGTTGATGTACAATATTTTATTAGTTTCAGGTGTACACCCCAGTGATTAAACATTATATAACTTAATAAGTGATCATCCCAATAAATCTCATAATCATCTAACACCATACATAGTTATTAGAATATCAGTGACTATATTCCCTATGCTGTAGTTTACATCTTCATGACTATTCTGTAACAACCAATTTGTACTTCTTAATCCCTTCACCTTTTTCACCCATCCCCCCAACCTCCCTCCTATCTGGCAACCATCAAAATGTTCTCTTTATTTATGAGTTTGTTTCTGATCTGCTTGTTCATTTATTTTGTATTTAAGATTCAATTGTTGATAGACATGTATTTATTGACATTTTATGGTTCATATTTTTTATGTTATTTTTCTTCTTCTTAAAGAAGACCTTTTAACATTTCATGTAATACTGGTTTAGTGGTGATGAACTCCTTTAGCTTTTTCTTTTCTGGGAAGCTCTCCATATGTCCTTAGATTCTTTTTTTCTTTTCTTTTTTATGGTTGACAATATTACAGATGTCTCTCATTTTCTCCCTTTTATATGTCCTTAGATTCTAAATGATAGTTTTGTTAGGTAGAATAATCTTGGTTGTAGGTCTTTGCTTTTCATCACTTTGAATATTTGTTGCCAATCCTTGTGGCCTGCAGTTTCTGTTGAGAAATAAGTGGACAAGCTTGTGAAAACTCCCTTATGGATAATAAACTGCTTTTCTTTTGCTTTTGCGATTGTCTTTAACCTTTTGCATTTTAATTATGATGTGTCTCAGTGTGGGAATCTTTGGGTTCATCTTGCTTGGGACTCTTTAAACTTTCTGGATTTGTATGTCTTTATCCTTCACCAGGTTATTATTTTTTCAAAGAGGTTTTCAATTTCTTGCTCTTTCTCTTCTCCTTCTAGTTCTACCATGATGCAAATGTTTATATACTTGAAATTGTCTCAGAGGATCCTTACACTATCTTTATTGGTTTGGATTTTTTTTCTGTAATGATGGGGTGTTTGTTGCTTTCTGATATTCCAAATTGCTGATATGATTCTTGGCTTTATCTACTATACTGTTGAGTCCCTGTAAATTATTCTTCATTACAGTTAGTGTATCCTCCATTTCTGACTCCTTCTTTTTAATGATTTCAGAGTCCTTTGTTATGCTGTTGAAGTTCTCCTAAGTTCATTGAGTATAGGACACCCATTTTAAATATAAAGAAAAAGGTAAATTCAATTGAAAGAATAAAGAATAAGATACCATGCAAAACCAATAAAAATATTTGTGGCCTGGCTGGGTGTGGCTCAGTGGTTGAGCATCGACCTAGGATCTAGGAGATTGTGGTTCAATTCCCTGTCACGGCACATGCCTGGGTTGCAGGTTTGATCCCCAGATGGGAGTGTGCTGGAGGCAACCAATCAATGACGACTCTCTCTCATCATTGATGTTCCTCTCTCCTTCTCCTTCCTCTCTTTGAAATCAATTAAGATATATTTAAAACAAACAAACAAACAAAAAACCATTAAAAATTTTGTGTAGTTAATACAAAATTCAGGCATTAGAGCAAGAAAAATTAACAGGGATAAAGAGAAATACTACATAATATAATAATTTTGCAAAAAGACAAAATCAACAATGTGCATGTACTTAACAATTGAGTATCAACATGTATTAAGGAAGAGTAACATCAATAAGATAGCATATCTGTAAATATTTATAACAATCAATCAAATAATAAAGAAAAAATGTA